AGGCGCGGGGCGAGTTTCGGCCAAACGAGCGTATCGAGGACGGCTTTCTCGGGTCTGTACGTCCATGTTAGTCGGGGCACAGCCATGATCAGGCCGCACGGTTACTTACCCTGCACGGTAAGGTTCTGCAAGCTGGTGTCGCCGCCGATGGCGAGGTTCGTCATCTGTGTCGAGACAGAGGAGAAGGACGATGCATCGTCATCCTTGCTACTTCTGCCACCAAGTCCAGAGAACAGGCCGGCGCCTGCAGTGGTATCGCTCTTGTTCTTCTTGGGGAGGGTCGGGAGGATCTTGCCCGGAAGCTCCAACCTCAGCCTCTTGTAGAGCCTGTTGAAATCACCGTAGCGGCGCGAAACGAAGAACTCCAGCTCTCCCTTGCGCTTAATACGTAGCAGGAATTCCTGAACGCAGAATTAGCTCCACGGGTAAGATATTTCAGGCCTGTGTCCATCATGAACTCACGGCGTGCTTATGGTGTCTGATCGTGTGCTTGACGGAACTGATGTGTACGCCGGCCACGTTGATATCCCAGCCGTTGATGTAGTTACCCTCGGGCAAAGTGTTCATGAGGCCAGTATCGATGGCATTGCTGTCGACAACCTCGATCTCGGAGAACCGAATGCGCTCCTCGAAACCCGAGGAGGTCTTGACGCCAGACACCATCATCAGCTCGACGAGCTTCTTGCATTTTGTGGCGAGCTTCCGGCGCTTGGTTTCCTCCAGCCGGTCTTCGGACGAGGAAATGTTCTTGGTCGCAAAGGATTCGAGGAACTGCGGGGAAGAAGGGGTAAGCAAGCGGTCGCGGCGCGGGGTTTGGGGGGCGGCATGTCGGAACGCGACAGCGACTCACCAGCTGCAGCTTGTCCTGCCAAAACTCCTTCTCGCGGGCCTTGTCGAGGAAAGGAAAGTCGCGGACATGGTGAACGAAGATGTAGCGAAGAATGGGTAGCTCCGAGTCGAGGGGAGAGACTTCGCCAACGTCCGACTTGAAAGGCGCACCGAAGCGCTTCAGGGCGGTGGGGGAGTTGAGCTCTGACACCTCATACTTGACTTGTTCTGCGATGAGCTCGCGCTTGAGGTCTGGAAGAAGGACGCGTCAGTCAGCTCGGCTACAAAAAGCACCAGGAGGGGGAAAACGTACAGTGCTCCTGCTTGCCCGTCAAGGACTGCCCCGGTGGTGGTTGAGCAGCTGGAGAGGGCTGTTCTTCGGGCGTGGCCACCGCGGGGGCGGCTACGTCAGCCACGGGTGCAACCGCAGCGCCGCTCTGGGGCAGCTGGCCAGTTTCTGGAGAAGCCATTGGCGGGTGGTCTCCTTGGGGGTGTCTGGAAGTTCGAGCGCTGTGTACGGTATGATGCGAGGATCTATGAGCAAAGAATTATGTGACCGTCCAAAGGAAAGAGGGAGGAGCAGATGCGGAAGAGGAGGAGGGCGAGGAAAAAAGCAGGTCGAGGAAAAGCTGAGGATGGATGGGGTGGGCGTGTGTGTCGTAATGGATGCCCGCGATTGATTACTGGCGTCCCTCTGTCTATAAGCGTCCTAGACACACCCACGACAGGGCCTGGGGTGCCTGGGGCTTGGTTCCTGGGTTAAGTGCGGTCCGGTGGGTTTGGCTCGGACTGTTTTCTTACATGCCTGGGCGGGCGGTCAGAACAGACTGGATGGAAGCGCCGGCGCCCGTCGAGGGGGGAAAACTGAGTGAGTGATGGCGGGGTAGTGCTGATGATGCAGGCAGGCCCCCTGGTGCTGCAGATGAGGCGCAAGGCGCAAGGCGGCCAGCTCGTGGGCCACCTACGACGACTGAGCGCCGCAGCACAGCAGCGCCGGAGAGTTGCGAGGGTGTTCGCCTAGACGAGTCAGCGGGTAAAATGTGCCCCGGACGACTTCCGAGATGTGATCCGGCGGTTCGTTTCGGTGACGATGTTTTGGAGGACGCTAACAGGCAGCAGCTCGCCTGGGGGATGTTGCTGTTGAGAGGGTTCTTTCTATTATGCTGGCTGGTCCGAGCTACGGTGATGAGATGGATATCGATGGCAAGAAGGTGGTGAAGTCCGGAACTATGTTTGAACCAAAATGCTGATGCAACGGTCCCGTCTGAAGCAGGTAACACTGAAGTTGCCCGCTTGCCCTTTGGCGACAGACAGGCAGGTTCGACTCGGTAGCTCCTGCTGTGACCAACTTCAGGGGACTGCGGGGCACATTCCGTCCGCTGAACGCAGTGCCTGTTGCCGCAATTGGACCCCTCCAAAACGCGAGGCCCGCCGCTCCCGTCCTCAGAATCCCCATCTCCCGATTCTGCGCCGAATCAACAGCGAATTCCAATGCCCAACTTGAGAACCCACCGCAAAATACTGGTGTGTGCCCGCCCTACGGCTGGATCCCTGGGTCATCGGGCGGTAGACCGTGCCGGGGATCTGGCGCTATCCACCGGCACCCACGTAATGACAGCTGACCAGCACATCTTTTTCTCCAGGTCACAGCCATCCATCCAGATCGCATTCTTCGCGAGGCCAGTCTCCTGACCAATACTACACATGAGCATCCATTCTGCCGAGGAACGTCCTTTCCGCATGACAGTGCATCTGAAAACTCAGAGCCCCTACCCCATCTTGATGGCTTGGCTGTCACAATGACGCTCCCCAAGGTGTGGCGCCGCGCGCTGTCGAGGGGCAGCACCATCACGAGCCTCAAGGAAAAGGCTCGGCAATGACGTTGTGACGCGCAGCCGCCCACCGCTCAGCCCACAACTCACAATAGGCCAGGCCCAAGCCGAGCTCGCGTCAAATGCGCCTGCGCAGCCTCTGTCAGTGTGTTCAAGCTGTGTGGCACGGAGGCCCCGAGGGCAGCACCCCGGCACCCCCAGGGCGCCAGCGAGGCTGATGGGGCCGTGGCGGCAGATGGGGGGCCAGAAGGACGCGCAAGCCTCGACGCCAGCGCCCTTCTTGGCGTGTGCCGGATGCCAACTTTCGGCGGCCACCCGCTGGGCCAACTGGACTACGAGAGGAAACATGCCCACACAGAGCCGCTGTTGATGAGCTGCGGCAGGCCATTCTCATCTGCGGACCGATGCTATTCGGCATGATGAAGCCGTAAATTACAAGCAGGGCTCTTTTGGTGTCTGCGGCTCTTATCTCGTTGCACCGTCCTGGCCTTACACCGCACATCTTCTGGCGAACAGCTTGCCAAGCCTGGCCCAAATCGTAGTTCGGATGGCTGCTCGGGTTCTGGACCGGCCAGCGCAGCATCGGTGCTCCATCTCCGGAGCCAAGACTCACGCGCTGCCTCGGGTGCCGGTATCCCGCGGGTTTCGTGTCACGGCTGCCGTCTCTGCCCTCTTGGCATCCGCGGGGGAGGATATGCGTCGAACCTGCATCGTGATCTCTGACAGGGCCAGCAACAGGACCGAGTTGTCGGGGAATAATCAATACAGTTGGGTATCTCTAGATATGCAAAACGCTATTCACAGAGCTCTCACAGCTCGTCGAGGAACCGCAGCTCGTCCTCCCGTTCGGCCTTCCTCTTCTCCCAAAGGCCAAGCTCCAAGGCAACGTCCGGCCCATCACCGGAGCCGTTGACGCCTTTGTCGGGTGCGTCTATGAGCAGCCTCGCCTTGCCGCTTGTGGTCGCGAGTCGGGCGCCGATGGCCATGAGCAGGATGGAGGCGACGATGACCAAGATGCCGATCCAGACCGTCTTGAGCCTCTTGCGCGTCCGCTCCTGCCACTCGAGATCTGCCCTCTCCCATCCCTCGACCCGGGCCTTGACAACGTCCACCCGCGCGCTGAGTGTCTCGAGCCGTGTACGCCCTGTCTGGATTCGGCCCTGCATCGCCTGTATCCGCTGCTCATGGCCCTCAAACTGCCCCAGCATGCCCAGCTGGCCCTCGGCATCCCGCACCACCTCGGCTGCGTCGCGGTCGAAGGCCTCCTTGACCTCCTGTGCGGACCCTGCCAGCTCCTTCATCGCCGCCACCGTGTTTTGTAACATGCTCGTCTTCTCGAGGACCGAATAGTACATCTCGTCTAGCCGCTGCGTCGTCGTGTTGGAAAGGGTATCAAGGTCGCCCAGAGACTTCTGTAGGCCGCTACTCACGCAGGCAAACTGTCAGTTTGGGAGCTTCTTCTGCTCGAAATTCGCCATGACGTACCTGACTCTGAGGGAGGTCTTCTCCTTCTCCTCCCGCAGGAGCTCCTCCGTGTTGCGTGATGCCGGCACCTGGCCCGTAGAACCCAGCATCAGGGCGATGCTATCATCCTTCCCAGTGACAAGCACGCTGGCAGCCCTGCTCATTGCCGGCGTCAGATTCAGCGGTGTAGTGAACTCAGATCGTGTCATGTCGAGGGATGCCCTGCCGTGCGGCGGCGGTGCGGCCCCGGCTGTCGAAGGCATGCCGTCGTTCTGGGACGGGCCGTCGCCCTTGAACGCCGCCGCGCCGCCAATACTCGACTCCTGGCGGCGATGATGCCGATGGTGGTGGTGTCGGCGGTGCCCGTGGCGCTGGCTCTCGCTGTCCTTGTCCTTGTCCTGGTGCGACTCGTGCTCGTCGTGTCGAAGCTGCCGCAGCCGTAGGGGGGGAGTGAACTCGGATATGGAGCGCGTGAGCTGGTGTCGGCCACGAAGTAGCGCCCGCGACGGCCCATCATCGCCCGGCCCAGACATGATCCGTCCCAGCGGCTGTCGGTGCGACAGACTTCAGACGGGCGGGAGGGGTGGGGGAGTTAGGCTCTGAAACCGATCGTTGAGGTGGAGGACGGGGACACATTGGGGTTGGTTCGCAAGGGATGGCCAAAGTGCGGCAGATGCACGTCCCGCGGACATTGCACTGTCCAAAGAATGACGTCGAACATTGCAACGTGAACTGCCCTTTCACCTCGCATACAACAAAGCAACAGGCTCCAAAACCTCCTATCAACTCAGCACCACTCAATTCATCATGGGGCTCCCCAACACGCCTTATCATGCAAAAGCAAAGGACCACAGAGCAAAAAGCCCCCTAAATCTTTGACGAGAAGGGGATTCGAACCCCTGCGGTTTACACCATTGGATAACTACTCTTGGAGCAGAAGAAAGTCTTGAGACCAACGCCTTAGACCACTCGGCCATCTCGCCCTTAGGTGAAACCTTTTGACAAACCCCAGGACTCTGTATCCAGCTCTCTCCAATGATGGTCATAGTCTTGCCTCAGTCTCAGACCTCCCTGCAAGCTACATTGCTCAATGACGGATTCCACAGCGAATGAATGAATGAATATTCATCTATCCTTCCACGTCGTAGCGATCTCTGTGGTCTTGATTCCATGTTTGCTTGAAACCCCAAACTCCGTTCTGTGGCAGCCATTCCGTCAATTGAAACCCCAAATGTGTTGATAATCGTGACTCCTGAACGCCGTTTGCGCCGGTCAAGGGATGCCTGGAGCGCTTTTCCAGGTGGCGACACTGGCCTTCTGGAGCCCAGTAGAGGGCTTGGGGCCATGGTTTTGTGCCCGATGATAGTGTGTAATTGGAGGTTGGGCGTCTCGCGGGGGTCTTACCATGCTGTGACCCGGGTATCTTCCCATCCCTCGGCTCTTTTCGATCTTATCCCGCCCCGGAGCCGTACCCGCTCACGAGTTGAGCACCTTGTTCCTCTTCTCCTTGCGCTTCAGCCTCTCGACGCGCTTGCGGTGCATCTTCTCGGCCATCTTCTCGTAGCGCTCCGCCTCCTCCTTCTTCGCGCGCCTGTCCCTGATCGACTGGACGCGTTGCTGCATAGGGTGTTAGTCGGATCGTCGGGGTCTGTCGCGGGCTCGTGGATTGGGTCGCACCTGTCTCGCAGCCTCCTTCTCGTCCTTCAGCTCCTTCTCCTTGGCCTTCATCGCTGACATGGCCACGCGGTCCTTTGCGCGCTTCTCAAACGACGACAGTCCGGACGTGGGCCGGAACGCCTTCTTCGTCGCATGCCACTGCTTGCCTTCTGGGGTCAGTATTGCGCTGCGAGAGCCACGGGGAAAGGTCCGCGGGTCATACCGTTCTTGCGCATGCCCATGGGCTGTGTGGTGGGCGCGGCCGTCGGCGCGGTTTGAGCGTCGGCGGAAGACATGGTAATTTCGGGTATCGTCAGACGTAGGAATACTGGTGTCGACTTGGTGCGCTTGTTCGTGAACACCCGAGCGCTGAGAGGGATGTTGGACACAGGTAGGCTGGGATCGTTGCCCGCCCCGCAAGTGAATTTTTTGACGGAGACCGCTGCAAGGCTGAGCTTAGCCCCACCTGCCAGTGACACCAGCCTCAGCCGGGCTCGCCACACCCAGCTGCAGCCTGCACCGTTTGAGTGAGCCTGCGGGGTTCGGGCCCCTGTGTGGCTCATTTCAGGGGTCCAATTCAGGATCCATCTGACATGGGAATTTGCCAACATTCAATGCTCGCAGCGCCAGCGGTGCTTTTGTCTTGACTGGGGGCGCTTGGAATGTGTAGACGGGATATTGCATATTTGCGCCTGTAAAGCATCTCGGTACTCGGAGAGAACCACCAGGCTAGTCGCAGAACCAACCCAGGGACATGGTTCAACAGGTGCCGAGAGTTCAACGAGTCCCCATCGTTCACGATGGCCATCTCCGTCGGCTCAAATAAATCACCCCCACACGTGGCAAACGTTGTGGATTCCGGATTGCCCGAATAATCTTCCCAGGCTGCCAGGATACCGACGATGACAAGCGCCAGCGAAGCCTCACGGGGGCTCTCATTAAATCCTCATGCACGCCGCAAGCCCAGCCCGCGTCGAGAAATGAGATGCGACGCGGACATGAGCGTGCCGTCCGTTGGAGGCGCTCTGCCACACATTGCGCGCGTAAGAACGTCGCAGGGACTCGCTTTCTATTGCTCGCATGTCCTGGGTACCAATGTGATTTGGTACGGCCAACGCCAGCGCAACAACAACTATTGCTCCCACCAGGGAGTGAGCGTCATGCCCAGCCAGGCTCGAACAACGTCCTGGCGATGGAATATCCCTGACGTCGTGTGACAGCTCACAAGGTCAAGCAAGGACGGAACTTGAACACAGCGCATCCCAATAGCCCGGGTCGCATCCCTCAGTGAGGCCGGTACTTGTGGCGGTAGAATTGCGTCAATCTCCCAGTAATGAGCCCGGAGTGGTTGACGCCGGCCAGGGATAGCCCGGGGAGATTTGCAAATAGCAAAGGGTCCAATGTCCCGGAGTGCAGTGCGCGGTAGCCTGTCGATGGCAATAAAAACGCGCCAAAAACAAAAACTTTGATCGATGTTCCGCCCGCCGCCCGCCTGCGGCGCGCCCCTCGGGAGCCGTAGCGAGCGCTGTCCGACATTTTGCACTGCGCCCCGGTCCCCTGGCAATGGCCAACTGGCTTTGATTGAGCGTGTTCGAGTTGCGGGGAGGGAGCCAAAAGCGGACGTCGGCTCATCTTCCCTGGCCGACAGGCGAGATTACAGGTGTTCGCGGGCCTTGGGGCCAAGATGTCAGAGTCGGGAGGCGGCGGCCGCTGATTCGTTCGATGCCGTGAAATCCCAGGAGGAAACGAGATAGTATTCTTAGATCGGCCCCGAGATCTCCACGTTTCCCGCAACGGTCCCTGTTCGGGCGACCGCGCTTCGTAACGCCAGGAACATCACTTGCGTGAGTGCCTCACACCGCCTTCTGGATCATCCCGTGGGTCGTGGTCCGTTGCGACCGGTCGGTTCTGTTCGCTCTCGTATGCTACTGTACCATGTCTGTCCTTCGTGCTATTGAGGCTCAGCCACCGAGGGAGTTGCGGGGAGGCTCGTGCTCTGGTAGAGCTGACGCAAGGCAGGCGTTCGCCGGCAAGTCGCAGGTGTCCCGAGGTAGATCTCGTGTTGGACCCGGTCTGCGACGAGTGACCAACTGCAAAGACGCAAGGCGATGGTCTCACGGGCAACGGGATCGCCGGTCGGGCGCGTCGCAAGGATGGTCAGCAGGATGGGCGCAAGGCAGATGGTATCCCTGTAGCTTAGCCAAGTTAGAGCGCTATCAGCCTCGGGGTGGCGGTCTCCCTGTTCCCAGTTAAGGAGAAGCCAGATCTTCGCATGCAGCGCTCCCTCCGCAATTTGTTGCTTCTGCCTTTGTTTGATCTGGCTGAACAGGAACCTCGATTCGTAGTCGTGCATCGCGTCATGCAGGTCCGTCTGTGCACTGGGCCATCCGCCGAAAAGAGCGAGAAGCGAGCGCGATTGGGCGGGTACGGCGGCGCCCCTCCACTGGCGTCTTTCCCCCTGGCTTGCCTGGCCCGGCCTTGGGGGGCGTGCGAAAGGTGTGGGCGGAGGCCGGAGGGACACCAATCTGCGGCCTTCAGGGTGAATGAAAGGAGGAGGGGGAGCGGGAGGCTTCGGATGAGATGTTGGCGTCAGACGGCCGAGGGGCACTTGACGAAAACAGGCAAATGTCGACTCTCTCTTGCCTTTCTTTGTTTTTGCAGGTAAGGACCGGATGACAGACCGAGGCCTAGATCGAGGTTCTAGTGTCGCCGCCCACGCCCACGGGCTGTGAGAGGCACACCGTCCGAAACCTTCCCCCTCCAAGCCGATGTTGACTCTCTTGTCTTATTCCCCCGGGTCCGAGGTCCAAAGTCGCTGCTAGAGGATAACCAGCTCGCAGGCCAAGTGCAGTAGTGTCTCCGTTGCGAAGTAACGGTCTCCACCCCTTTTACAGGGGGTCCCAATACGGGAGCGGGCTTCGTGACAGATCCAGGGGTACACGTCCTTCAAGTCGCGTCTCCAGACCGTCTGGCGTTGGAGGGGTTATCGGCTCCAGGACCGGCATGACGGATGGTTCTCCCAGCAAGGCTGTCAAACCCAATGCGTTCAAGAAGGTCAGACGTTTGGTGTGGCAAAGTGCCAACCCCAGGGCGAGAGTGAGACCCCAGCGTCGAAACAAGAGTGTTTCCCTGACTGGGGCACAAGCGAAGAGAAGTGCTGCCTCCGTGACCCGACCTCTGTGCAGTCTGGTACAGTGGTCGCAATTGGAGCTGGAATAAGACTAGCGCTCTTGTCGCTTTTGCTACGATGGACCGCCCGCTGGCAATGGCTCCTCACGTGATGCAGTCTACTTGTACCGGTTGGGCGGCAGCCACTTGGCGGGTTCAGTTTGCAATCTTCGCGCGTGAAGCGCGCTCCTGTCATGATGCGCAAACCATGATCAGATGACTCCGAATTTCCTTTTCTGTCGCATAACATTTTCAGTCTCAAGTCTTTCCCCGAAAATCCAAAATCAAGGTACTAACTATACCAGAGGGCTCAAGTCGTCGTGATGCTCTCCAGGTGGTATGGGTGGCGATGAAAGGTATCTCAAGTTGGATTTGGCTAGTATTCCAAACGAACCGGACAAACCCGATTGAAGAAGCAGCCCGTCCGCCCCGGATGAGCATCCATCACAGTGAAATTTGTGCAGGAGTCGGTCGCAATGTCATGCTCAGCTGGGACTCACAATGACTTAAAAGCAGCGGGATTCCGGAACCATCCACTTTGGGATGTGCCTGGGAAAACCCATCTCAAAGCAAGGTTCCCTGCGCACTGCGCACTGCAGCGCAGTACCTGCAGCGTAAGTCCCGCGCCTCTACACTTGCAGCATCTTGCCCCATCTCATCCATCCCATCCCACCCCCCACCCCATCTCACCCCCTGCAGCCGTGTCGGCGCCCTGGTCTGGTCCACCAGGTGACTTGCCATTTTCCCTCCGCCTACCCCGTCTGTCGCCGTTCCTGACTGGCACAGCGGCCCCCTGGCCCCCAGGGCCCCCAGGACAGGCAGCCAATAAACCCTGCCACCACCTGTACCAGGGGATCCACCGTCCCTTCTGTTCCTTCCTCTGAACGACGTTCTGTTAGGTGCTTTGGACCTGCCCCGTGCCGTCCTGTCGACCCTCCCCCAATCCCGTCCCAATCTCATCCATCTCGTCTTCGCACACCACCTACTTCCTCCTCCTCCTCCGCCTCCCCAACCCAACAACAGCCTCCCACCCGAAGGCAACACCCTCGCGGCGTTGACTTCAAGGTCCAGCAAAGTCGTGAGATTTCTGCTTTTGGACCGTCCACTCCTTTGACACCCCCCTTTTGGCCCTTCGATTCCGCCCTTTTTCGCTACTCCA